AAAAGGTTTCTAAATATATTTTAGTAGTGCCAAATACCAATGAATTTTTTAATGAGGAGAGGTTTTTTTATAGGAGGACTGCTATGTATGAATCCAGTGTTTCACGTTGTACGTTTCAGCAAACATGAGAATTTTTGAAATATTTTTTTCGTGGGTGTTAAACGAACTTTTTTGTACGTTAGGGGTGGATTTCACTACCTGAGACTGTAAAGGAATGCCAATGTTTTCGTGGTACCATTGTATATACACCTTATAATATGGTGGTACTAAAGATAAATCTTAAAGTTTCAACGCATTTACTCATATATGAGAATTTGAAACCTTTTCATGGATGTTAAACGGATTTTTTTGTAAGTTAGGGGTCAATTTCATCTCTGGGAATGATTTTGTCGGTACAATAGATATCTAACCTTTCCATTGAGTTTTTAATCCACCTTACGCAGGTTTGGTCAGCATTTCTTTAACTTCAATTGGGGTTTGATTATAATTGCGAATCGACAACCAACGCATTTTTGATAGCTCGTGATATACACAGGTCGTGTGGGTGAAATTCGCCCTTAAGAATATTCGCCCCCGGAAGATTCGCCCTCGGAACATCCGTCCTCGTTACATTCGTCCTAGTAAGATTCGTTCCCAGAAGCTTCGTCCCCAGAAGATTCTCCCTCGAAAATTGCGCAAGTGTTTACCTTATCAATTTAGGTGTAATTCGATCGAATCGTCAGTTAAGCGCCATTGGATTTGGAACAACCGGTGTTTAAATTAATTACAGTACTTATGGCAAAAATAATTCTATTTATTTACCAAACCACTCAATGTCATCTCCAATTAATGTATAATTAGGCATACCTACTGCGGCAGGAGTGTCGAAATTAAACTAATTGGTATAAAAACAGCCAAACAGGCAACGAATTAACTTGCTTCAAATGTGAGTTTAGCGGTTTTAGAAAGAAGTTTAATTTTAGACGATGCAAATTCATCTTTCCGAATTCAGGAAAATAATTAAATCTCGATTCGTAAGCAATACCTAATTACTGTTATTGTGTTTAAATAGTCTCGTTAGTTGCCCATTATCAAGTTCGAGGAGTAACTGCACGCTATTTATCTCGACGAACGGCACTAACTATTCAATATTTTCCTCTACCTCAGCAACACGTAAAAAGTCACAAAGTGACAAAAATCCTTTGATTCATCGCAATTAGTTAATACCTTTACAAGCGCAATTATTTTTTCCCTCTTTTTCCCCCTCTTTTTTTTCATACAACCAATATTTGCCTCTTACGGTTCAAGTTGTTATTTATAGATAGCGAACCCAAAATTGTATTTAAACGTCTTACATCGATCTATAGGTATGTTTAAAAAACTTTAGCCGGTTCAATTTTTACTTTAGGTACCTACTTTTATTTCAACGGCGGAAATTAGCAGTTTGTATGCAGAAAGCTCCTCGATTCGCGTATGATAGGAAATAGTTATTATTACACCACATCATTGCACAATCAGGGCATACGAGATGGATAGAGGGTGGATTTATAAAAAAAGTATTTATGCGTTTTGATTGGAGCGCGTATTTGTACTTTATACTTATATGTAGTAGCGTAGCGTACATTGTTACGCATGGGGTGTCAATTTTAAAACTTGCAGTCGGCCATATTTTCCAAACTAAAGAAGTGATAGAAAATCGCGCAAAACCGTTTCGGGGGTATCGAGGGGGAACCAGAATGACGTTATGGGTGACAACCCCCCCACCCCCCTTAACACCCCAGCTCTCCCTCTTCAAAAATCCTAAATGGCAACCCCATACTTGTGACACCGTAACGCCATTCTGGTTCCTCTCGATGCCCCCGAAACGGTTTTGCGCGATTTTCTATATCTTCTTTAGTTTGGAAAATATGGCCGACTGCAAGTTTTAAAATTGACACTCCGTATAATAGTTTTTTTCTGAAAGATGAACATACCATTTTTAGAGTGTAATTCCATATGATTTTCGCTTAAAAAAACACATCAACTTGATTGGCGAGTGTTTTACTTTTCCATCTTTGAGGTACTTTTTTGTGTATTAGACATTAAATTTAAGAAATTTATTGCCAGGTAAAATTATTCGCTAATTATCGATAATTTTCCGCAGCAAATAAACGTCACATATACACACGTAGGTACATTTAGATAATAATTTTCAAAGATTTTTCAAAGTTTTGAAAAGAGGAACCGGTACCTCCGCATGATTTCTCTTTAGTATCATCTGCAGTTAGATAAAGGTGTTTGATCAAATTTTTGCAGGGTGCACAATACAGCGGTCAAGTTTTGTAACGGTTTATTTTCTTCATTACGAGTAAGTGTTCACGGTATATACATATATTTATTGAGTGATCCCCGTAACTTTTGGGGAAGCAATTTAATAGATGGCTCCATCTATTGTTGCAATTTAACAACGCAATTCTACCGCGCAGCTGCTGTGGACCATTATTAATTTTTCCTTTCTTTCTGTGGAGAACCATGTCCAGTTACACTTCATTAAAAACCAACAGCTGAGGCGTTATCCATATTGGATTCATTAATTTGGGGATTCCGGAAATATTATTAGTGAACGGATGCGCCCTTAACCTAGGATATAATTGCGTTTTTTCTTCTTTATCGTAAGTAGGTACGCCATTTGCATTTTCAGTTATTGAAGTGTACATTTTCTTTAGGTTTCGGCCGACATTTGTCATAGTACAATTTCCATCGACGATTTTTGCTTCATCTATAGTTTAGTTTATCAAGAAAGAGGGGTTACCTTTGATTTTCTTTTAGGGTTTTAATTGTAGGGTTCAAGTGTTACCGGTTTCCAGTAAAACCGGAAGTGAAACGATCATGATAATATTGTCTTTCGATAGATTAAAACCATGTCGTATGTTATACGGATAAGCGAATATGGGAATATCTCAGATATTCTGTGAATAAACTTTAAAAGAATATTCTCCATTTACCACTTGGGATACTGAACATAAACTTGAAAGTACGATAACCGTTTCTTCTCAATATTCGAGAATGCTCTTCCCTTGAATATCCATAATGTTATCCAGATAGAAATTTGATGCTCATTCGGGAGTGGGGCATTTTCTAATACCTAGCAAGTTAAACTCAGAACTTACTGTAATTTTGTATTTTATAATTAAAACAGATACTCAAACAGGTAGGTGTGCATAAACTCGTACATCTATAACGATTTAGGTGATGTTTGCTACTGCAAACCGTCCTCAATCTCTTCTTGTTTTCGGGCGGAATTTTGTTTAAACTTATTGCACTGCGTCGCGACTTCAAACAAAATATCCTTAGAATCAGTTGAATCAATGCCAACATTGACAATTTTGGCGCATTCTTGTATGTAAAAATCGAGTTGCTGATCTGTGGGATCGTTACTAGGAGTTGTAGATAAAAATTTGTTGGTAAACTGAGCCAGTCGCGTCAGCGAAGAGCTAAATGCTTCGTCCAAATCGAAAAGTTCCAAAGGCGGCGGCGGTAGTTCGCGAAACGATGGAGGGAAAACGGCAGCCTGCAAGGGAGGTAGAGGCGCTTCGAAATTTGGACTTATTAACTTCAGTGTCTGGTGCTTGACGTCTAATTTGTCGTATAATTTAACGGCTTGTGGCACTAAAAGGAGGAATTTAAAAAAAAGGAGTCTGTGGCTGTTGAGTTACCGAAATCTGTATTCATGGAGTACATTTTGTGGTCAAATAATTTAGAGTAATCCGTCGAGATTGCATGGCCAATTGCATCAGTTAAGCATAGTTTAGCTCTGTCAGCGATTTCAGTAATATCGGGTACAATATGATGATCCCATATCTGTGATTTCGCCTAAATTACTGTGAAGTCCTTGAGTTGGTGCCTCAGAAACCTACGTGATCGACAATGTATGTGACTCCCCCAAAATTTTAGGGATTTTGATGCAGAATAACTAGAGCAACCCTCGTTTTTTCAATAAGCACATTGATATTTCATGAATTGCTTTACAGTTTGAGTTAATCACGTAGGTTTTTATACCAGCAACCCTCGACTATATAGTTCTACTTACTTCCAGATCGTCATCGTGATCTGTAATAACAGAAACTTTATCAGTTGATGCTAAAAACTCAAAAAGATATTCGCGAAACTTTTCATTATGTTCTTGATCGATATATTTATCTGCAAACATGTGCCCAGATCCGATTGTAACTAAAGTGCCTCCTGTATTTCCATTGTAATACATTCCACAGAGAGGTCGATCTGCGGGAAAAGTAGTCGCGCCACTAGTGAAAACAATCACACTTGGTTTATTGACATTTAACGTGCACCCATGTGGAACAACTAAATTCAATTGCACTTTTTCTTTGGTTAACGCTTCCAAAATGTTACCATCCTCTATATAACACTCTTTTGGATGGAAATATTTGTAGTAATGAGTTCTGATCAAAGAATCTACAATGAAAACTCCTTATATGGGTGTATTGCAAATGTAGCAAAATACTTGCCCATATTTGGAACCATCCCGTAATGTTCGAGTATAATATTAACATTACTAATATCATCTTGATTGCTTTCATACAGTAAGACTAAGATTTTGCCACCCTGGTCTAGGTACTTCTTCATCGCTTCAATTTCGGACTCGGAAAAAGGATTTCGACAACCAGGCAAAATCAAAATACTACATTTCTGTAGGACAGCGTCATTGATTTCTTCTTTATTGCTGTAAGAAGTGCAAATCAATGCAAATGCTTAGAGAAAGTTGGCACATACACCACAAGCTTCCAGTTGATCTTTAATTTACGTTGAAGTATTTTAAAGTTGTCATTCAACTTAAATAACTCATTTTTGGTAGCGTTAAATATTATGGTGCTTTTATTATCAAAGTTTATCTATAATCAAGATGTAGAATGCTAATCTAATTGTTATTATTTGCCACATTACCTCAATTGGTGCCATTTTTGCTAGGATGTATTGATTAGTGTGTATAGGTGTTGCTAGGAAACGTAAATAAAACGCCACAATTTATGAAAACATGTATTAAGGTATAAAATTAAAATCTATTCTCTGTAACATATACACTACTTTAACAAATGTTCTTCAAGATGCAATTCTTGTCTGAGAACACCATCGAATATTGCTTCGGGAAGCACAACCGTAGCAGGTGGAGTTTGCTTTAAAAACTTTGTGTATTTTGATTTATTTTCTGCGTTTGCAACGACGATTAGGTTCTCTGTTGATTTTGTTGGTGCCTTTAATAAACATTTTCCTCCACAGGATTCAACAGCACCTATAAAAATTTTCCCACTGTTAATAGCTCCCTACTATACCAAATTAGTTTGGTTTTTTGAGACGTTTATATATCGGGCGATCAAAAATGAATGACTGTCGAGGCCCCTTTGGAAGTTCAAGTTAAGTTCGATTTCCCATGTAAACAAAAATTCCAAAGGTAACTTGACGGTCACTCATTTTTGATTGCTATGTACTGTTTTCTATGCACTTACTAATTTCTTTAGCAAAAAAAGATAATGCATATCTCTTTGGTTTAATGTGTCAAAGTCTTAGAACTAACCTTTAAGCACATCAATCGCGTTGGTAACTGTGAGATACACGACATAATCTTCCAGCAGTTTATGATCTCGGCTCCTTTTCAAAGATTCTTTCAAAGATAATTGCCATTTATCTTCCGCCTCTTCATCTTGCAGTATGTAGTCCCACGGATCTATTGAACACAGTTAGTTAGCATTTAGACGAATAACAACGCACCTAAGAATTTATTCACTTTTTTACATTCTCTAATCCAATCTGGCGAACAAATGGGTTTGCACTGTCCAACGGCTGTTAAAAGTTTTTGAGATCGTTTCAAGCTTCCCGTCACAAGCACGGTGCATGCTTCAACAGAGTCTACTACTCTTCCACCTACAAGCAAGTAACAATTAATAAACAAATATGATACCTCAGGCCCCCATAAATCTGGGGGATTCTTTACGAATATCCACAAGGGTGATTTATTTTACTTGAATTTGTTGTCTTAGTGTTGTTTTGCTTTTGGACTTGTTTTGTAATTCCGTAATTCTTGTTTTAAGTTTCATCGCTTTTGTAAATTGTTTATTTCGATTTGTGTATTTAATTGTAAAACGCGAAATTGCGTGTTTAAAATGTAGGACATCTGGTTGTTTTGCGAAATTTAATTAATGCACGTGTTTTGGTGCTGATAACGAAGAGATGCAGCTGTTTTACAATGTGGGCGTTATTTCGGCGTCAGTCCCGCATTCTTAGAGGCTCACGTTACCGAGTCCATGTTTTAAAAAATGTAGATCATTTTATAGTGGATGTGGTTTTCCCTTAAATACTGGAATCAACGTAAAAACAAGGCGGATGCTAGCGGTTAAAAAAGCGTGATGAGAAGAAGTTGAGCAATGCTAATAAAAGATTTAGTGAACACGTTAATTCAATGCTTTCGGTCGTTAAAGTAATGAAAATGTCGAGACTTTTAGACGCGTAGCTCTCAACAGATCATGTTGTACCTGTGATCTATTGGGAGCAATTGTTTTTGGTTCACTACCATATTTTTTATGTGTAAATATGCTACATTTTGCAGTATTTGTACCCTATTTCAAATATCAAAACAAGAAATATGAATTACCTAATCTCCGAATCACAGACTCTAGATCGGGGCTGTCCAACATAGTAAAGACAACCTTTGGTTTCAACGCTCTCTTATTTCTCTGGAAAAAAGGCGTGATAAAAATTACCAAAAAAAACCTTCATACTTACATCAGGAGTACTTTCGGAAACCGTAGAATTCAACAACACTCTACCCCTAACGGGCGTTTTTGGAATAAATTCGTCACTGTCAGAGTCGCTAGTTTTATGTTTCTTTTTCGCCACAGCGTTTTCGCTAGCTGCATTTAAAACCCTCTTCCCCCGACCAACTTTACGCGTCTGTTGTTCACTCACAGATGTGCTTGTTGTAAGCTCCGATGATTCTTCCTTTTGTCTTTTAGTAACCTTAAAAATTTTCGTGCTACCTTCGGATTCGCTTTCTGGTAGTGCTTGTTTGCTCATTCTATTGCTTCTCTTTGAGTCTGCGTTATTTGCCTCGGTGTCCATAAATTTTCTTGGCACACTAGCATTTCTCTTGGGTCGCTTAGTTGCTTCAACTTCAGTTGCTGGTACATCATTAGTTTTGGTTGTCCCACGTGCAGATCGTGTTGTTGCGATTATTTCAGGTTGAATATTTTCACTTAAGGGCACATATTTCTCAGCCTGATCTTTCTTCCTTGTCGACTTCTTGTTTGGTGTGGAGGTGACAAGAGGTTTAGACGGCTGTGATTCTTCCTTTATATCCACTTTTGCATTCCCTTTGCCGCGCGTGGATCGCTTAGGACCCTCCGTTTTTGCGACCGAGGACACTTTGGACTGTTCTTCAATGCCAGAATCTGCACTTGCCCTTTTATTTTGAGGTTCAGTTAGTTCCAGGTCTTTGAGTTTTCTTTTATTGACTTGTGTTGATCGCTTAACATCCTCTGTTGTTGACCTTTTAACTTTGGACTGTTCTTCAACACTAGAGTTCTCTGGACTTTGAGGTTGCTCTACTTTCAAGGAGGACGGTGAGGTGACATGAGGTTTAGACGGCTGTAAATCTTCCTTTGCATTCCCTTTGCTGCGCGTGGATCGCTTAGGACCCTCCGTTACAGTTGTGAAAGATTGTTCATTGCCAGAGTCCGCTGAACTTACTTCTTGAGGTTTAGATTCTTCTTTTGTATCCAACTTTTCCGTGCCTTTGCCGCGTGTAGATCGCTTAGGACCCTGTGTTGTTGCACTTGCTCGAGGTCGCTCAATTTCTCTCTCTTTGTGTGCTAACTTCCTTTTATCGATTTTAGATAGAGTAGACATATCAACATCCTTATTTGAAGTCTGGGGAGAGTCCTGCTCTGGTCTCTCTGCTTTTCTTTTTGGATGAGTCTTCGATTGTGCTTCGTCCGTTTCCAATTTTTGCATCTCTACAAGTAACTTTGCTTTAGTTTTACTAGCATCAGTTGAAGGTGATTTTTTTGAATGGGCTCGGGTTCGACTCCTTTCATCCTGTTCAATGGAATCTTTGTCTTTAACTTCGGGTAGCGCCTTATTATTAGAACGCTGAGCTACTCGTCTCAAAGGTCTGCGTGTATCAAGGGTATCGTTTGATTTATCTTCAAGTTCAGTTAGGAGCGGATTTGAAGGTCTGGAATTATCAGCACCAACAACGATGTTCTGAGAATCAAAGACAACCTCGAGCTGACTTTCAACTTGTGGTAATTTTTCGGGAGACCTCTGAGATGCAAACATGTCTTCTAACTGTTTCTCAATGTGAGACCCTGCTAGAGCTTTTGAATTTAGAGTCACTACTTGGGTGGGCTGATCAAAGACGTCGTCGTTAAGGTGTGGTAATTTAGCTTCAATAAGTTGTGTTGGTTGCCCAAATACTTCATCTTCTGAGTCGGCCACTTTTACATCGATGAGTTGAGTTGGTTGTAAAAATATATCATCTGATGGTGCATCAACAATTTTATTATCAACAATGGGTTGAGTCGGTTGCATAAAGATGTCATCAGACTGAGAACTACTTACAGCCAGATTCTTCTTTGGGCTTGGGATAGCAGGTTTTAAAAATATGGGATCTTCAATTTCTCGAATAGGCTGAGTTGATTGAAGAAATATATCTTCGGAGTTTTGCTGGTGAAATGCAACTGGTTGAGTAGCTTGCTCAAAAATGTCATCTTGATCATTAGCAACAACCTGTTCCAAAACTTGTGTCGGTTTAATGAATATGTCATCATCTGCACTGTTGTTGTCAGTGGTTTGTTTACAAATGTCACCTCGATCTTTGGCTCCAGTTGATTCCAATACCTGTGTTGGTTTAATGAATATTTCGTCATCATCCACAGCAATGTTGCTAGATGTCCCTATCTTTGGCTTGTCACCTGCAGGTGGCGCCAAAAGTGCTTCATCATTCACCATTGGTTGGGTTGGCTCTAGGTAGAGGGAATCCATCTCTACAGAATTAGCCATTTTATTTACATCCTCAGAGCGTTCTTCCACGGCCACAGGTGTCGGCTCTTCCAGTTGAGTGGATGGAATTATAAAATCATCTTCATCTTCGTTAACATTGGAAGTCACAGCTTGAGTATTAAACTCAAAATCATCGAGATCGCTATCGGAATCAATACTAGGAACGCCCTTGTCCGGCATACTTGGTTTGCATTCTGCACTTTCCTGTACTTTGCCAATTCCAGTATTAACAGTTGTTGGTTCTCTCACCAGATCTTCAGCATCAGTATCAGAGTCAGAAGCAAGTTTGCCTTTTATATCATTTTCAGTATCTGTCTCTGAATTAGAAAGATTAGCCACGGTTTTTTTTATCATCTCCTCTTCCGCGTCCGTTTCAGAATCAGATTCGATAATTTTCGTCTTCCTCTTCCTCAATTTAAATCTGACAACCTCCTCAGATTGAGATTCTTTGCTGTTGGTTTCCGAATCGTCTCTAATGGATCTGATGGCGCGCCGGCGTAACTGATTGACTTGCAAATGTGATTGTGAGTCAGATGATTCCTCCCGAATGTCAGACTCATTGATAGTATCATCAATAACACTGGTACTGTTAAAACTATCATTGTTCCTTGAATCTTTTGTTAACTGAGTTGGCATATTATGTATTGATGTGCCTTCAAGGGATTGGGTTCTTGATTCAACACTCTCTTGAGCCTTTCTTGTCAGTTGCGTTGGCATGTTATTAATTGATGGGCCATCAAGGGATTGGGTTCTTGATTCAACATTCTCTTGAGCCTTTCTTGTCAGTTGCGTTGGCATGTTATTAATTGATGTGCCATCAAGGGATTGGGTTCTTGATTCAATAATGTCTTGACTTTTGGTATCTTTGGTTGGTTGAGTTGGCATGTTATGCACGGATGTGCTGTCAGGGGGTTGCATTTTCGTTTCGGGAATATTTTCATTCCTTGTTACCTGAGTAGGCATATTATGTATCGATGAGCCCTTGACAGCTTTTGTTAGTTGTGTAGGCAGGTTATGTATTGACGTGTTTTCAACTATTTGCGTTTCAATTTCGTGAATATCCTCACACAAACCCTCTTTTGGATGTGCATCACTTGCAACGACCACAGATTCTTGTACATCCTCGCAAAAAAGCTGAGTTGGCATGTCGTGTATGGAAAGAGCCTTTGATGGCCCTGGTAGATCACTAGGTGGTGGTAGTTGCGTGGAAACATCCGCAAAGTTGTAATCATCATCAAAGTAATTTTGTGGGTTCTCCATTTCAGGTACAGCATTGGATGTGCTTATATTACCCTCAACAGCCTGAGTTGCTCCATCGTAAAATGATTGGGTCATAAACTGTGTGTTTTGTGTGCTTTCCATACTAATTGTAGAGTAGTTGTGTCCACCATGTGGTGCTTGCGAAACTGCGGGTATCTAGAAAGACAAATGGATATATTTTCGTATCTAGTAATATTAAACGTTTACGATTTGGCGGAAAAGATTTTTAGATGTTTTCAAAATAAAGGTAATAAACCAATGGAGGGGTAAGGGCACAGTTATTTTACCGTGCAGCTCATTACCATAAGGCTCGCCATAAGGCATATCTTTTATCTACATTGTAACAGGTACTTGAGGGAGAGGACAGAAACAGAAAGGGTCAAAATTTCAGATTTTTTTAAATAGGTATTCAAAAAATAATTTTATTTTCATCTTCAAAAAGTTTTTTTGAGAGCAGAATTCTTTCTATAATTTTTGACAAATCGTACACCTTTTTGTGTGTTATGGTTGTTAAATAAAAGCATCATTTTGGGACTTGGGGACATAGATCCCGACCGAAAACATTTTTAACCCTTGGTTTTAAAAAAATGTTTTGGTTAGAGTGGCATTAATTTAAATCACGATTTCAAATCATGATGTTAATCACTATTCAATCATCGATTTTTTTAATTTTCATGATGATTTAACACCCCCTAAAGAAATGTTATTATTTTTTGATATTAAAAAAATTAATTATTTTGATAAACCAATATAGTGTTATTCCACAATGATCTCGTGGATATAAAAAAATTATGTGTTTTTCAACCGTGGATTCAGGCACCTCTTTCAAAAACTGTATTCCCTTAAAAGTAAAAAAAATCGGTAATTTTGTTTTTGAGATCTCAAACCCTTCAAAAATATTATTCCCCTCAAAATAAATAAAAATTACGAAAAAAATTGTTTTTGGAATACCCCAAATAAACAGCCAATTTCATCTTAATGGTTTAAATCTCGGTTTAATTGTATGAAAGGTGTATAAAAATCCTTTCAATTTTGATCATGCAAACCTATTCCAAGAAGGGGAGTAAGAAGAATTGAAAAATCTGTTCTTGCTCAGTAACTTTTAAGAAAAATTCGAGGAAAGATTGTACAATTGGTAATGTTGCAGAATTAACAATACTCGTAGAAAAACCTAAAAAAAGGATTTTGCAAAAACAGTAAAATTTAACAATGATTTTTCGGTTCTGATTAAAAAAAATCAGTTTTTGTCGATTGCGAACTAGATGATTATTTACATCCCTTAAAATTGTTATTCCTTCAAAATAAACGAAAAATATGGAAAATTTTGTTTTTGGAATATAGGGACACCCTGTATATCTTCCTCATTTTTCATATAATTTTCAGCATATCATGAATATCACTGAACTTGACCACAAAAGTATTTCCATTTTACTCGAGATTTTACTGGTTCATAATTACATAAAAATCTCGGCAGCAAAGAATGCTCCTGATGGCTCTTCTACAATAGCATGGTTTACTCGGGTTTACTATTAAAAACATATAGTCCATGATCCCAGGGCTCTAATACCATTGTACACTGGTATCAAGTGTTCTGTGACCGGCATTCTTACCTAATATTTATTTGTTTATATAAGAATGTCGTTATTGATACTCTCGTTGATTAAAACAGTAATCATCAATACAAAGATTGGAATAATCTCCACATTCTCTATAAAAAAAGTTTATTACATATTCTTACCGTATTATAAATTGCAGATACGTTAGCAAATTGAATAGAATCACCCTCCGAGAGCTCGTGCAATACTAATGGTTGTAACCTATTTCCACCCATGAATGTGCCATTAAATGACTGAAAATCGCTTATATAATGCTGCCGTTCATTGACAATCGTTATAATCGCATGTTGTTTACTTATATCCTAAGAAATTGATTTGCAAAAACCACACTTGTACAAGCGAACCATACAAACCACATGCTTGAGAGGAACCGTGGCGGTAATACATCGACCTATAGTATTTATCCCTTTGCACAAGTAATATTTTTTACCATCTATCTTCAAACAGGCCATCTAAAATGTGTTTTTACTGTACATTTAGGGCTTTCACTTTGCTAAAACTTACCTTGGCACGATGAGTGGATATGTTAGTAGCAGGGTTCATGTTCATTGCCAATAAATCGTCAAAATAATGGGTTTAATATTGTAAAAATAAAAACGTTAACAGTCATTTAAAAACAAGATTGTTTATACTTTATAGTTGATTTTCGTGATTTTTGTTTGTTTTGTTGGCGAACGTGAAATGTCACTAAAATCCACAGAGCTGTGTGTAGTTGGTTGCGTTCAGTGAAATAATAGACTTGATATTGATCCGCCTTCACCACAATTATTATTAAAAATGAGGGGGCTGGGGGTGTATAATGGGGATAATTTATATTCATATTTTTGCTTCTTATTTTATATTTATTCCAGTATTCCAATAAATGGCAAGTATTATTATTACATATTATTCTTATTATTTATTTATTATTAAATGAGCACGGTGGGAATAACGTTCAATTTGCAAATATATAGGTACACATCTCCCCAGAATGACGAATGGAAAATTTCTTATATTAAAAAAGAATCTTTTTGATTCCATAACAGGATATAGCTGATAACTGACGCTCGGGGCGCAATGGCAACTTGTCTATTTCCTTTACCCCGTTGGACCTAACCCCCCCCACACACACACACTTGTGAATCAATTTAAGTATTGTATCCTATTTATGAGTTACCTATTTAGAAACTTTTCATATCGCAAGCACACAATTTTAGAGCTCATTTAAATCACTAGGAACCTAAAATTTATTATGGGTTGGCCAAGTCTACTGGGATCCAGCCCCTCCCCTCTTGATTGGAATTACTTTTTTCAAATTAAACGTTATACTGACATTACGAGCTATATAAGAGCTTTCAAGTACAAGTAATTCCAATTTTTGAGCGCCACTCCGAAAAGAGCAAATAGGTATAAATCGTTGGGGCGTCCACGTGGACGTAGCGGTGTAGCCCCACCCCTGTTTTTCTTTACTAATTTGAAATTAATTTTTATTTATGAACTACGAGCTATTTTAAGATTCACTTACAATTAAGTTTAATTTTTGAACTTCACTTGTAAAAGGTCAAATAGAAATAAAAAATATTGGAGGACTTACCTGTTGAAGAATTCACTGAAAGTGACGGCCCAGGGCTATAAAAACAAGGCGACGATTTTGAGTATGCGTTTTTTAAAATCATTGCATGCCTTTTTTTCATTACCACATCAAAAAACAAAAGATTAAATGGTTTTGGAACGTTTTAGAAAAAATTGCTTAGGTACTATTTTACTGGTAGGGTCTTATCCACAATAAAGAAGGTTTAAAACTAAAATTTTCACTTTTTGCAGAAAAGGGCCTAATTAGTAATTTCAAGCTGCCGTAATTTGTTAACTAATTGACCTACAGAGCCTAAATTGTGACACATTGAATACTTTTTGTTCAATTTTAATTAATTTATTAAGCAGAACTTCAGAATATAGAACAATTAGGTTGTCGAGATCTTTGCCATCAATATTAATTATTGTTTCCCAAATGTACCTACTAAAAGAGAGATAAAAAAATGTGATACATTCTTTTTATGGAGTGATGTTAAGAGCGAACAATATCCTTTGCTTCACCTCCAAGAAAAAACCAGGGCATCAACATAGGAACGAAATATTTTCAGGTGATTCAAGTAACAATTCTATTTACAATGCAATAGGCCTTACAACATACAATTTTTTAGTCATAGCCAAATTTTCTCGCTAAAAAAGTTACTTGACCTATCACTTTTCGAACTAGACCAGTTTGTTTGTCATGCTCAATTGCGTTGTTTAACGCATTTTGCCTTGTGTATCAAAGTTAAAAAAACCTTAATGCAAACAAGTTCCAATATTGTTCACCTTGAATTAACATAAATTGTAGACACAGCCAATAATTTCAGATCCTGTTATTAAAATTAAAAATATAACAAATGTACACACAGCAATGTCACTTATTCCTAAAAGTTGGTATGTTGTCCTTTATCCAATTTACGTAACGCCTCACGTTAGTGTAAACGCTAGGTACGCCTGGTGCGCCACATTGGTCAGAACCGAATGACAAAATGCCAATCTAAAAGAATACAGTGACAAAAACGGCTAATGTTATGTCGGAAGTTACCTGAAAGTAGCTTCCACCCTGCTCTTCCACCAGGGGTGATCCACCAAACCCTTCACAAACATCTCGCCCAGCTAAACCACCAACGCACAGATTGTTTTCGGTTATAGGAATCGTTCTTCCGTAAACATGTGAACATTGTTGCAATCCTAGGATCGGCAATTGAATCACTTGCTGAAACGGAGGCGCTTCTAAGGTTTGCGTGAAGGAATTGTTCACCAAAATACTCACCGTGTTGTCCGGAAATTTTTCCCCAACCGATAACTAACCCGTAGTTGGAACCACCCGCCCAATGCTGGGGCAGGCAGATTGGTTGTGCTGTAACTGAAATGGGCATAATGGCTAATTTAATGTGAATAGATCTTCTACCAGTGAAGTTTGCTCGATCATTTAACACAAGCAAGGCTATGTTGTCCTTAAAGGTGCGTTGCTCGTACCCGGGATGAACAATGACATGACTGATAGTAATGTCTTGATGAGGAAGTGCGCAAAATTCCTGGCCGCAATCAAGGTCCGTTTTAGACGACCATTCTCCGATGCGAACACCGAACCTTTGGCATCAAATTTTATCAAAGACATTATGTATGCGCTCTTACAATTTGTAACTATCCGTTTTGGTCAGAACGCAGTGGGCAGCTGTTAGAACCACTCTATTGCTAATGATCGAACCTGAACATGGAAACTTAGTCTCTCCCGAACCTGCGTCTGCAATATAAGATAATAATAGATAGGACCCCGGTACCTTTTACAGGATACTTTTAAATATTACTCGAGCCACCCAAGGATATGCGCCTATACGGTTGTAGGGTGCTGCCGCAACCATGGATTGACCGCACAACTGACCATTGAAATTGGTACTGTGAGTGGTACTTGTCGTGGGGCAACACACCATCCCTGAGCCTTGGTAACCGCATCCCAACTCTCCGATTCTAAGGCGTGATTGTAGATCGGTCTGTTATAAAGAGTAATATTACCTGGTCGTGTAGGCACATGCATTATTAATTACTTTATATAAAAAAGGACAATTGTCGATGTGAACGCATTGTGTCCCCGAGGAGCAATACCCAGCCCTTCCGTACTGGTAGTTGCTTCCATCGTAGCTTGTGCCCCAGTTACTGACATCGTTTACTAGGCAAAATTTTAATTAGGAAGTAGTTTGATGTAATGCGCATTGATTTGATGATATGGTCATTATTGTAACGTCGTAAAGTAATTAGTAAATCGTGCTTTAGTGTGACAAATACAGAAAGGTGGATTGCTCCTGTGTGAACTCTGTTAGTGTATTCAATCATCCGGTAACTAACGATTGAATTACTTTAACAGTTGCAGACAAGTGTTCATTAGACGAAGATGAAGTTCCTATAACGAGTTAGTTACATTTAGAAGGGTTGAAAACCTTTATTTGCATTAAATAAAATTGAACCTCTACGGCACTGGCAAAAATCTTACTGTTGCAATTAATTTTATTTTATCTACTCAGTAATACAAATTTTAAACACCTCTTACCTTGCGGAAATTGAACCTTTTATGTCCTGTTTAAACTAAAAATAAAAAATAAAATAAATTGATGCACCAAAATTGTACGGGCTTGCTCTCGAAACCAATGCCAATGCAACTTAAAAATCCTCTGGGAATCATCCAGCGCACATCTTTTTGTAAATTTGTTAATTTAATTATGCATTAACTATAAAACTTACGGTGATCGGGTTTGTCATATTGTTTTTATCAAAAGAAGTGGCCAAATATGGATTTTCAAAAAGATCGGATGAATTTTACTTAGTAATAACAAGTTTTATATTTTTCCATAAAAAACAATAATATTTGATATTGAACGTTCCGAACCAATTGTGCCTTATGGAAAATTCGATTCTAAATAAATTAATTTTTCGTCATTCTGTCCCTCAGAGCAATAGTTAACGAGATAATTGAAGTCAAATCCGAAACAATACGATGTTCAATTTCTCAAAAACTGATTTTGGATTTTCCTTTTTCTAATTTTGACATTTAAAGTGGCACTTTTTAAAACTCGTTGACGTTTCAAATACCTTACTTTATTCCTAACTGGTGATGAAAAGTATCACAAAATCAGAAAAAAACATTGTGCGAAACACGTTGGGAAACAGTACTATTCGTAACTGGCTTCTCATCGCTTCGCTCGTTACGAAAAATAGTGCTTATTACCAACTGGTTGCACAAATAACTATTTCGCACTCGTGTTTATGAATACAAAATCTTGAGGTAAGGTTAGATCAGTTATTTTTTTATTATTTTTTTCTCGCCAACCACTGTGCAGCGAGTGGTTCAAATTCGTGGCTCACCATTGGGATCTCTGTAACGATGAGAGATACCGTGTAGTTTAAATGGGCCCCTCTTTGTGACTAAAAAAAACCTATACGAAATTTTTATCGCCGAAGATCTGAAAATGTCAAATTTCGTTTTCAATTTTTGTAGTTTAAATGGCCGGAAATTAACGGTTCCCGTAAGTACCGTGGGCCTTTTTTGCGGAGAATCTGAATCTGTTATCAGAATTTCCATAGCACGATAGATCTAGAAGGTACAGGCTACTACTGTACGGGTAAACATGGGACATCCTTTCGCAACCGCGGGACTGGACTACGCAAATCCTAACTAAGGAGTTAAAATTTAGTCAAGGAAGCTACCACCAAAGGAAACGGGAATCAAGCTGGAAGCCGAAACACCGAGAACCGTATCACTCCAAAAACGAGATGCTTTCCTGCTGGCGGACCAAGGTGTTTATTTAGAACATGCTTGCAGAATAATGAGGTATACCACTTGATTTTTTTAGATTTTGAGTTTTTTTAATCATATCTCAGTTACTTTCAAAATTATTTTAAAAAATTTCAAACATGTTCTTTAGTCACACAGGGGGTAACTTTACCCCTATTCAACCTACACTGTATCTCTCATCGTTACGGAGATCCCAATGGTGAGCCCTGTACAATTGTACATAATTATAAGGATTTGACCAACGGACTGGGTATTCTATTTTCAATTTGTACAAAATGTTAACAAAACTCCTTTCTAACTTTTTCATCTTCAAACTTAGTTTTTTTTGGAAAAAAAGGGAATTATTTTTGTTTCTAAAGTAATTTTTTGGCATTGGATTGCTAAATTTATCAAATTTGAAAAGGAATTGCAAAAATATTGTAAGAATATTGGCGAATGATTCGATAAAGACGATTTCTAGAAGATTTGAAATATGATATTCTGAAACCTGGAATAGTGCTAAATTTGTAACGTTTTTTTAAAATCATTTTTTATCATGAAAAATATATCGAATATTCCCTTGAATTCCGTCCGCCCATGTACGGACTTTGCATAGGAAGTTGAGGTTGAAGAGTTCAACATGTAAAGGTGGTACAAAATTTGTGCCTCAACGTACAAATGAGTGCCAAATTAAGGCACAACAGTTTCAAGGGTTTGTCCGCATTAAGTTATAATATGTGACATTTAAGTATTAGAAATGGAACTACATTAGGACTAGAAAATGAATTGCAAAGCTTCATTAAGTATGTTTAGAACAAATGTTTCAAGTGTTGATTTTGTATGTCACATACGAAGATCTTAAAAATATCCCATTTTTTGTAAACTTGTGTGATGCAGTGATTTATGACCAATTAGATATTACAATACTTTTCTGAAATTTTTTTTAATATTATGCATGGGGGGGGGGGGATTTATTAATGGCAATCCCTCGCGGACAATTTGACTCAGTTCAAGACCGAATCGGTGAGTGTGCAGTTATTGCTTTTGACCAATCTTATACGATTGACGAATAAACCCATTCCTTTCGAAGCAAAGGGATTTTGAGATTTTGTGACAATAGAGCCTACTATACTTAGCCTAAATGTAAATCCACCCCTGTCCTGTCTTGAGTAATTTAAAAAACGTGCAATTGATTAAGTGGTTGCCATATAGGGGAGTGTATTGAACTATTTTATCAATATTGTAGTAAGGTTTTAAATTCGGTTTTCAATTAATGCAATTTTCATCAAGGTCATAAGAAAATGAAACAATGGCCCGTATGAATAAAAATAAGCAAATGCTTATACTTGCAAAATTCAAAGTAAATACTCGTAACGGTAACTGCCCCTTTATACTGGTCTGTTTAGCAGCGTTGCACTACGTCCTGTCCTTCTGCTTAGCAGCGCTGCTAAATCGCCCAGTACGAAGGAACACTTACGAGTATTTACTTTAAATTTTGCAAGTAGGTATAAGCATTTGCTTATTTTTATTCATACGGGCCATTATATGCATTACCGGTGTCTACAGAAATACCGACTTCAAAATGATAAAAAATGGAGGTGACAAGTTAAACGAATTTTTAAAATAAAAATGAACTGTTTGTAGATTAAATGAACAAAAAAATAAATAGTGAATGAAGGTAACTAACGGGTAACACTCCTATCAATTTAAAAATGGCAAGAATCGTTTTTTGCAAAATAAACGCATGGGAGAACGAGACACAGTCGGTAAATTATACTCAGTAGCCATAACAGAAACGTAATAAATTAGATGTCAAGGCTAAGACATTTTATTTACCCCTGATGTCGTACTTATTATAACGTCTAATTTTAAAGCTGACATTACAGTAGGTACACGCGTGAGAAGAAATTAATGAGCGGAAAATATAACTAAACTCTAATTACGTGAACTTTACAAGTACCTACTTAGATTAAGATATGGGAGGTATGTTCTTGCGTGACGTAGGATACATTCCGAAACTGTGCGCACTTAATGCACTTATAGAGAAGTGAGACAAAATTATAGGAAATTAAGAAATTATATAGGAGACAAATTTTATTCCAGAACTTATTACATCCATTAGGTATAATAATATAATTGGCATCTACATTTTAGATACATGCTCGTATTTTTTTACTTTTTGGGCTTTTAAGAGTAGCGATTTTTTATATAATTATAAAATTCCTTACAATCAAGTTATATCACGCTAAATTTAAATTATTTTGAATAATATTTCATTATTTTTATTTGAAAATGAAAATATAGGAGATGTATAATATTTTAAAGGATATAGGAGATTTCTTTGAAATAGAGATTGAAATAGTATTAATAAAGGAAAACGTTTTATTAAATAGGGAAGGTATGGCAACCCTAATCTCCCTTATGGAGAGAATTGCTGTGGAACCGTGAGGGAAATCTTTTTAGAATACTAACAAACTCGAAAGTTGCAACGTCGTTTCTAGAATCGGGGTGCCCTTCAAAAAATTACAATTATATCAATTAGTTATTAGTTTAATAATCCGAAATAAGCATGCTCATGGATTTTGAAACAAAAAAAAAATAATGATGCCTCCTGAAGAAAAGGTTTAATTAAAAAAATACCCGTAACAGAAACATGTGAAATAATCTTCAAACAATGAATGTTAATTGTGTAATGGTCATTACAATTCATGAAAAGTTTAAGGACCCTATATAATTTAAGTATACCTAGGTATGATAGGGATCGTGTCAAGAAACAAGTTACACAATAAGAATAGTAATGAGTTGAATTACAACCAAAATTATGTACTAAAACGCATTTAACAACAGATTTACTTACATTAGTTGCTGAATTATTTATAGGTAATTATAAATTAATTGATGAAAAATACAAAATTTAAAGTAGCAAGGACGTGTTCATCCACCCATGAGGCAATTTTTGCAATTGTATATCATTACCAAGGACTATAAAGCAATATTACCAAATTTGATAGTGACCCACCGCCTTACATGCGGTTAGTATTGTCTTGAAGTTCACGGATCGATACGTGCAAAAAAATAATACTGATAAAGTGGTACAATGTCAAATGCATGTTAATGACGTCAATGTAAATGATGGTTGAGAGCATATTACCTATATTTTGTGCAGTTACTATTGCACCACTAGTAATAATATACACGAGTCCTAAGTAGTAAGACAGCACCACTGGGGACGCACTCATTGTTTTAAAATTATAATGAAATGAGTAAATTGCTGCTGATCATATACATATACTAGCCGACCTTCCGTAAAAAATCTACGAATGAAATGACGCTACCATAAGGATAATAATCCCCCACTAAAGATCGAACACGAAAAAGTAATTTGCAAAGGTATCAACATGACCGGATATGCATAGAAATCCGAGCAATGTTGAGATTTCATGGATACCATTATTTTGAATGATTCATTCTAGATATTTCATATTTTTTATAACCTAAGATTAAACTAGATAAACGCGATCATTACGTATACCGATTCTGTATTACGCTGAAATCATAATGTTGACTTTTTCCAAGGATTGCATTTGTTTGCTACCAATGATATGTTAAAAATAGAAAACATTGGACAATGCTAACTTTACGTTCCTATTTTATCGCTCCCTGAGTGTTATTTTTGAAAATTCTGATTTGGTGGCCCCAATGTAGATTTGTTCCTTGCGTTTAAAAGGTAGCGTTGGTCCGTCTACTCATCATAACCTTATCTCTTAAGTCAATACCCAACAAGTAATTGTAACTATTCCGACGTCGCGATTGGTAAGAATTTAGCCGGTAATCGGTAAAATGTTACTTGGGATCCAGGATGGAACGATGGAAACGACTTTGATGTCGTTACTGTTATTTGTGGTTACAAGGTGAATAGATGTTTTTAGTGGTAAGTTGCAAAGGGGTGCGGTATAAATGCAGTCCCTAACTGGGGCAACTGGTTGTACCAAAAAGTGGACAAAACCAACCGCATTGAATAATAATAATAGCGATTTAATTGAATAACGATTTCACTCAATGGTGAAAGTGAAAATGATAGGTAATATGTAAAAGAGAATAGAAAATAAGCCAAAATAGCGTTGAATGAGAAATTTTGTAAATGTAATTAATAATTGCCAACGAATGAATTTAAAAAAAAACACAACGGTATTTTATTATTTATTTTAATAATTTATAACTTCAATAATACGATTTAATTTTTCGATAAAATCTAGCAAAACTTCAATTATATAGTAACAATCACATAATGAGCGATAATGTTATTTACATGAAAGTAATTGGTAGGTACGTGTCCTAGAAAGATCTACAAAACCGTCTTGCATACAAATCCATTGTGAATGTATAACCTAACACACTTAAAACAACGCTAGTTACCTAGGTCTCACAATTAAAAGGTAGGTACCTCTTATCGAAGTTCTAAACCTCTCAAGGGAAAAGTTGTCTATGACTTTTAAAAAGATACACACTACCTCTCAAAGAAAAATAGATTTTTTTGTCTATTTTGTTTAGAAAATACGCTTTTAGAAGCAATCGTAAAGCTTATGTATAAGATATATTACAACACGTAAGTTTATCACAACCCTACCACTAAATTGTACAAGACAAAAATGTTTGCCATTAGGTATATTCTGAGCCTAGATTGGAGAGAAATTGAGGAGGAAAATAAACTCTTAGGTTATCTAAAAGCGGTGATGGTAACATTTAAATAAGCTATACATATCAATTGGACCCTTACCTGTTCGGCTTACGAATTATAGGATCTTTATATAAAGAAACTCTTACAATCTTGATGGAGTGCTCAAAAATTACAAGAGAAAGAATGAAAGGGTGGGATCATTTAGGTAATTATTGCTCGCTGTCAGAAATATGCTATTTTAGAGGCGTAGATGTCAAAAATGAGAGAATGAGGTCCTATAAATACTTATATGGTATATCTACAATAGTCAATGCAAGAGTTTGGTCTTTTCTAATTATCATTAGCTAAATGTAAATTACAGGCTAATATTCACAAGTCTATCTAAATTTATTGACTATGAATTGTAGTATTTACTCACGCATTGTACGCTTTCTTTAATAAAAACAAGAAGCTTATTGTAAGCACTTGTGAAGGATATGTAGTGCACAACTATCAAATTGTTGATGTAATACTGTTTATTCGTAATGTCGCGTTTACGTAATTCAATAAATAAGACAAGGGGATAGGATGAGACCTACAAAATTAGAGTCAAACGATTTTGATTTTAAGAAAAAGACAGTTGGTAGCATTGTTTGTAATATGCAGAGAAATCACAGGTTAGTTTTTATAGCTACCCTACTACAAGAAACATTAACTAAGTCACTTTCCTTTAAGGCCACACTAAAACCTCTTAGTTTTTGACTCTAATTGTACTTTATTGTCTGGAGGAAAAGCTGCCCTGAATTCAAGTATTGCTTTAGTATTGAAATTCGATTGAAACAAAGCTTTTAGCTAATAATACACTACCACAAACACACATGAATATTGAAAAATGAGCAACGGAAAAGAATTGCAGACATTTTTTGTTTCTATTCTGCGATTGTATAGTATGGAATTCCATCATTTATTCGTCTACACTATAAGGGGTGTCTTATAAAGAATAGTACAAAATATTAGACAGTGTTCAATCAGCCTACCATCCAGATAAAAGTATGAGATGCAAGCAAGCAATTACTTATCCTTGAATTACGCAAACACTCCATTTTGCCATATTCTAACATTCACTCTAATTCTTTTCAAAATTTGGCACTTACATCACTAAACATCCTAAAATGTGAAGGATGCTTTGCACATTCATCTTGATTAATAAATAACAACCAATAAAGGAATCTATTTAAAAGTAGTGATTGATTAGAATGAACACCCCATTTGTTACAATGGGTATTGGGTATGGGTTCTCTAATTGAGAATCACAAAACGCTATTGATGCCAATTTAACGTCAAAAATTCGTTAGGGAGGCATCGAAAAAAATTTTGGGGTTGATTATTACTTTTGCAAGACGGGTTATTCCTCGTCGTTTCTCAAACCCGTTTTAAATTCCGGAGGCACTTGCTTCCTGAAGCAATCATCCAGAAATTGACCCATACTTCTGTACAAATGCTTTTTCACGCCACCGAGACCATGACTCTCATCGGGGTAAATCTGAATAAGTTTAATCAGAATTAGGCATTTTAAATGGAAAACTACCTGTTGCCTAAAGAGCGTGCCGGCTTCCGATAGTGCTTTCACTAAAGCCATCGATTGCTGTAAGTGCACGTTGTCGTCGGCGGATCCGTGCACCAAATAAAACATTTTATCTTTAAGCTGTTGGGCTTTTTTGCTAACATCCGCTTCGTCGTAGCCTTTGTAATTGTCGGTTACGTTGGGTAGTCCCATGTATCGCTCGGTATACGCTGAATCTGCAAGATCAGAAACTAATATTTATGCGAGACGAGTTTGCAAAACTTTAAGGAAGCGAGACACTTACCGTAAAGTTTCCAACTAGTAACTGGCGCGACCGCGATTGCACATTGAAAAACACTTTTGGGAGTTGCAAGTGCTAAAGCGGCAACAAAACCTCCGTAACTCCATCCCCAGACAGCGACCCTCCTCTTATCGATGAAATGTAACGTATCCCTTAAATACCTAAAACAACATTTAATCATAACTTCGCAAAACTTGACTAACTTACTCTGTAACCTCCAACTGGTCGGAAACTTCGATCGTTCCCAACTTATAGTAAACCTTATGCAAATGCTGCTGACCCTGTCCCCCGGAACCTCGTCCATCAATTTGGGCGATTATGAAATCTTTATTGCCGGATAAATAGGTGTTCCAATCAATACGCCATCTTTCAGTGACGAGTTGACTGCCCGGTCCTCCGTATACCTGAACAACTAACGGATACCTGGTGATTTCGTCTTCCCTTAAACCTGGCGGTAAATGCAATCGCACGTGCGCTTGATAACCGCCGGAAATTTGTACCGGAAACGTTTTTATTTGCGGTAGCGCCATTTTCGAAACCCGGTCTCTTAGTATCGTGTTGTTTTGTAGAATCATTAGGGCTTTCGGTTTGGCCATCGACGCCCTGTGTAACGCACACGATGGGATACCGGGACCTAGACATTCTAAAACAAAGTAAGCGGCATTCGGACTGAAGATCGCGTTGTGATATAAACAGGGTGGATCTAATTGCGCTTTGGGTTCCTTTTTATTGCGTTTTCGACGAGGTGGTGGTGTGGTTATTGTCAGTTCCTCTTCGATCCAATCGTCGTCCCATTGACGTGTTTTGGAAGTCAGTGCCTCCGAAGCAAATTCAATGTACGGCAGTGATGTGGCTGGCAAATCTGTTGTGCACGTAAGACATACGGGTGGTTGTAGAGTTGCCCCAGTTCGAGGGGGGACTGAAGTTGCACGGTACAGGTGTTGTTCGCCTGGCTTTCCCTCTGGAATTCCCAAGAAGTATCTATAAAGCAGAACAATTGAAATAGGAAGTGGCATTGACTCGCTATGAAAATTATATGTGATTACATGTTTGATGAGACTGGGCGAGAAGTGAATGTACAAATATTATTACGAGTAGCTCTGGATGAATGTGCGCTGGTCAGTTAATGAGCGTATTGCATAACAAACTAGTGGTCACTTGAAATTAAGCGAATAATTGTTAATTACTGACAAAACCACATAAAAATTTGTATATCATCATTGTACAAGGTAAATTCAAATTGAGGAAGTTATTTTTGTTGTTTGAAATTGAGTATTCCCGTTATGAATAACTAAATTGGTGCATCGGAGAAAAAACCTTTATCTGTGCGAATAAAGGAGAAGTAGGTACTACTTTTCCGAAAAGAAACAGTATTTTTAGTTTAGTTATGGTAAAGGAGTTCTTAAGGAACACCTCGTTACGAACAATAAAGTAGTAATGCAATTAAGAGAAGTGTTTTCATTCCGCTGGGAAAAATTTTCCGACAAAAGTTAAAACATCATTATTCATAGCCCCAAGTTGTAATAAACGGTTATAGCTTCGACCGTAATTCCAAATCCCGATTAAATTCTGAATTATTTAAAAAAAGCAAACTTCTTTGGCTGGATAAGATGTTGAACGAGCAAATAAAAGCAACAAGTTTTATCGCGGATAACATGAATACTACCTCCCTAGCGTTTCATATCGATTGCGAATAATCAATGCAACTATTTTTACTCCAACTTACACGACATCGTCTGAATGATCCCAAGCTAATAGTCGTGTCACTTCGAACTTTCCATGCGTTAATGGTAAAATGCGTCCTTTAGGAATATTCACTGCTACGGCATGTTTGAAATATCCAGCAGGGCCGTCTCTTACGGGAGCCACTGTTATGTAATTCGCGCTATCCCTTCCAAATAAGGGACTATCTCCCATATCCACCCAACCTGGGCCGTCGGTTGTAATGCGCTGCGTCTGAAAACGTTTTATGAGAGAGCTTTTTTTGATATATTGTATTAATTAACGACAATAAACCTTCACATATGAGCAATTTGTCACAATATATGAAAGAGTGATAGATTGCCCTGTTTCGCATTTATATGAGTTTTATTGTTGCGGTATACGTAAAGTTTATCACTGTTGGAAGGTACTTTAATGTTTATGCACTTTTTTACAAACTCCTACATGAATAATTTCCTGTCAGCTTGATTTATACCTACATAGACAATCGCAACTTGTAGCATGATGCTACATATTGAAAGACACTTTCCAATAAACAAGGTATCCGTTTGAACTATACAATTTCTCCCGCTTTGTGAATCTATCTGGCCTTTAGCTACAGTCACAATTTACCAAAGCTTGCAATTGAGTGAGAGTACGTTTCATCGAACAATCGTGATTTATTCGTGCAGTTCCTAATTCATATTCAACATTAGGAAAGTAAGCATTTTTGCACGTCATTTATAAACTCTGAAATAACTTTTCGAACAAATTCTGTTAGCTCAAGCAAACTAACTCGAAGAAGTGCCACAAGTCACAAACTGATAACTGTGCAGTTTGATGTGTGCAATATTCCTACTAAATAACAATACAGGTATTTTGTGAATATGCAACAAACAAAATGGAGTTCTCGCCAGTTGTAGATACTGTTTGGAGCGTATCTACACCGAAAATATTAGAAAATTGTAAAGGATATTGAAAATTTTGGACAGTCTGTGTAGATTTTCTACAAAATCCATTAGGTATCGAAATTTGAATGCACCGTAAAGGAATCGTAGTTTTTTGTTCCTCCGAAGAAAATTAGAGAACTATCCCTCACTGTCAATGACCAAAGCTAAGCCTTTCATCAAAATAATCCCGTCAAACTCAAAATACGGTTAGGGATGCTTATTTTTCAAGAAAAAGGTTCAAGTCATCGGGAAATTTTAGTCGCGATGCTAACAAATTTAGCGGACGTAAAATTATTATAGGGGACACAAATTAGGTTGACTATTGACAGGGGATGTGTTCGAAAGTCAAAGAGTTTTTAATAACGGTTTCGAAATCATTGCATAAACGTTTGCCTAAAGTGATACTACCGGCCATTCTCAAAATCTCAACCCAATTTTTTTCGTAATATTTCCCTTCTATTCTTCCCACATTCCTTTCGCGTCCATCCACGTTGTCAAGCTTTCCACGAATCTTACCACCCTGCGACCCAAGGCTATCCTTATCTTTTCCATTTTTGTTTCTTCCTCTTATATACAATTTGGTGTCCTTCCGTTTAACCCCCATTTATAATACCTTCTTGTTCTTCTTTCTATTGTTTATTTGCTTTTCGTACCCTAAATATTCAATTTCTTTACCTCTCCTATTCTTCCTCCCTCCATTTCCAATCTATCGCGCCTTTTCTTCCATCTCCCTTCCCAAATCTCATCACTTTCAATGTTTCTACATTTAATTCCATTCCTTTCCTTTCCCAATACCTTTCAATTCTTCCCATCAATTCCTTTATCTGTTCTTCTCTTCTTTTCTGTCTTAATACTTTTTCCATGTCTCTTAAGTAGAGATTAAATAAGGTTGGGCCAACCTCAACATCATGTGTTTCCAAAACACTTCAAACCCCTTCCCTTTAATCTTGCCCTCAATCCGGTCTCTCCATATAGTTCCTTGAGTTTGTCCCTTAACCTCAATTTTCTTATATTCAATCATCTTCCATACTATTTTCCATTTCCAGTATGTCAAATGCCGTCTTTAAGTCCATGAAAAACGTGAACATCTTTCCGCCCTTCTTTTTCAATACCTCGATCATTCTCTCCCCTTTTCTGAAGCCCATTTGTGTTTTATTCAACGTCCTCTTCTCTTCCATTTCTTTTTGCAGTCTTTCGTTCAGTATCATTGCATAGATTTTATACGCCGTAGGTATTCATTATAGTAATTCCCTATAATTTCCCACACAATCTTTATTACCTCCTTTGAAGATCGGCACTATTACCCCTTCCATCCATTCTTCGGGTAAACCCCCTCCTTTCCACACCCTGTTTACTAAATTTCTCATCCTTTTCCTTAGGGTCCATGACATTTCGGTCCCGCCGTTTTGATCCCGCCATTTTGGTCCCGCCGTTTCGGTCCCGGTCATTTCGGTCCCGGTCGTTTCGGTCCCGGTCATTTCGGTCCTACAATCTATTTTTTTCTATCACCAGTACATTGTTTAATAAATAAAAACTTTTTCTTTAATGCGAAATTGTATTCAATGTAATTAATAATGACTTTAATCACACTGCCACAACACAATGAGACAGATGTTATAATTATTCCAAATTTTTAATAATAATCGTTAGTTAATTACCTTGCACACTAAGTGATAGTTAATAGCTTGTTAATTTGTTGTTGACCCTTTCTCCTATTAACTTATGCTTTATAGCATATTAGGTGTTGGTCACCAAAATTATTTGTTTGTAACAATAAACGATATAATTCCTTGGTTTGTTGTGTAATCATATTACTTCTGTTACAACTGTTAGTTAGTGATGATGGCAGAATTATTATCGCAGAGAGGTGGTTTAAAAATTGCTCATCACGGTCACTTGTTCTCATTTCATAAGAAAAGTAGTGATGGAACATTAAGTTTTTGGCGATGTGACAAACGAACTTCCGAGAACTGTAAGGCTCGACTGCATACAGATGCGAATGGAGGTGGGTAGTGGAAAGTGTTGAACGAACATTCACATGGGGCCAATCCTGGAGGTATTGAAGCTGTCAGAATTCAAAATCTTATTAAAAGGCATGCTGAAACAACCCTAAGCACACCGGCAAATATTATCAGTGAAGCTTTACAAGATGTGGGTGTTGCAACAAGAGGACAACTTCCTTCGAAATGTGCGTTAAAAAAAGTTGTTCAGAGAAGGCGAAATATCCTGAGGGCAGCACCTGTCCAGCCTGATAATCTTGCTGCGCGCTCAATATCCCACCCGAGTATACACAATATGAATTTCAACGTGATCAATTTGAAAACTTCCTTCTACATGATTCGGGCGAAAGAGACAATGAACGCATTCTAATTTTTGGAAGATCTTCGTATGGAAATTGGTCTCAAGAAATGAAAAAAATTTATGTGGATGGAATATTTCGCATTGCTACACAATTGTTTGGCCAGGTATATGTCATTATGACTGAACGAGGAGGTTTTGTGTTTTCGGTTGCCTACTGTTTGCTACCCAATAAACAGCAGAGAACATATGAAAAAATGTTCCAAAACCCACTCGTGGGTATTGCCGCGTAACACAAAGTATTGAAACGACGCATCGTCACCAAAAGCACACAAAATGTCGAATCTGCATATTGAAGCACGTCCACGTCCAGAGAAAGGAAGGAGTTAAATAAGTAAAATAAAGTTTCAAAGAAATATTACCATACATAAGAAAGTTGGGTATGAGCAGCCTGTGCAGTCACTGCGTATGCCCACATAATTTTTACTATGTGCGAAATGTTTGCCTTTACTAGAAGCGTCTGTGGTTAAAATTTCAAAGCAATATCTCCATAAATAAGAAAGTTGGCATTGCGCAGTCACTGCGCATGCCCACATAATTTTTACTATGCGCGAAATATTTATCTTTACTAGAAGCGTCTGTGGTTAAAATTTGAAAGAAATATCTCCATAAATATGAAAGTTGGCATTGCGCAGTCTGCGCAAAATATGGAGTTAAATGAAACTGATCGAATTGGGCAAATATAGACCATAACAGCTATCAATTAGCGAAAACCCGAAGTCTCTAGGTGGCCCAGGGGCCGAGATCTCGATGGAACGGACGGACGGACGGAAACACGAGCACATAAGCTTTACCTCAACTTCGTTGTGTTACGCTTAAAATGTGGGACGCTATTAAGAATTTTTGGCCAAACTTTTTGCCAGATTCTATTTCCACAGATTTCGAACTGGCAGCAATAAATGCTATGCGGTCTGCGTTTACAAATTCAAATTTTTTTGGATGTCTTTTTCATTTGATGAAAAATATGAAAAAAAAGTTAGCGGGAGAAGGATTGACAGCGCAGTACAATAATGATGCAGACTTCGCTTTGGCTGCTAGGAAAATTGTAGCTCTGGCATTTGTGCCTATCGATAATCTTGACGACGCATTCGAGGAACTCAGCGAGTCAACACCAGTAGAACTTGAACCAATATTACACTGGTTCGCCTACATTGGGCGCCCTAATCGAAGGGGAAATCGAAGAGAGCCAACCTTTCCACCAGAATTATGGACTGTTTTTGAAAGAACATTAAATGGCGATGCAAGGACAAATAATATTGTGGAAGCTGCGCACAGAGCACTACAGGCCGAGATGGGAATGGATCACCCAACGCTTTGGAAATTTATTGACTCTCTTAAAAAAGTTCAATCGGGAAGAGACCAAACATTTGAGGAGTATATCCGTGGTGACGGGCCAATTCCAAAAAGAAGAAAATATATACAAGCTGACAATAGAATACTAAATATTCTGCAAGATAGAAATAATAGAACACACAACGAACTCCTTCAAGGAATTGCTCACAATTTTTTGATGAACTAGTGTAATGTGTCATATAACGGTTTATTTACGCCCGAGGCATCATGTTTATTATATTGACCATGTAATATTATATTACAAATAATAAAATGTATTTTGTAAAACATATGATTTTCTTTATTTTATTTTTTATTTGTTTATGGCGTCCAGGTAATTAACTAACGATTATTATTAGAAATTTGAGATAATTATAAGATTTGCCTCATTGTGTTGTGACCTGTATGAATAAAATCATTATTAATTACATTGAATACAATTCGCATAAAGCAAAAGTTCAATTTATTTATTAAACAATGTGCTGGTGATAGAGAAAAATAAATTGTAGGACCGAAATGACCGGGACCGAAACGGCCGGGACCGAAATGACCGGGACCGAAATGGCGGGTCCAAAATGGCGGGACCGAAACGGCGGGACCGAAATGTCCTGCTCCGTTTTCCTTACCCTATCTGTGGCGAAGATCCAAGCATTATTACCTATCTCGTCTCTGCCGCTTTCCCTTTCTTCAGTTTTTTTTAATTGCTGCTCGATCTTCTCTCTTGCTATCCCACCTCTTTCAAGCTGCTCTCTTCCTATCTCTTCCATAGCCTCCTCTTCTGCTCCTTGACAAAATTTTATTTCCGTTCCTCTAATTGTATCTCCTCCCCCCTCCCCCACTTCTTCTATTTTTCTTTTTTGCTCTGTTTACCACCTTCCAAAAATTCTTTTCTGTTTTTATTTCCTTGCTAATTTGCTTTTCGTATATTTTTTTGTCTTTTTTTCTATACATTCTTTTTTGTACTTTTTTTCTGTTCACCTATTTTTCGTTTATTTCTCGTCTTCTATCTTTCACCATCATTTCTCTATATCCACGTTATGGCGTTTCTAATACTCTCGTTTATATTTTTCCACTCCTCATATGTATTCCCTCCTATTACTTCTGCTTGTTCCCCTAGTTTCCCTCTATACAGCTCCACCGGGTCTCTTGGCGTATCTCCCTTCGTCTTTGCGTCTTTTCATTGCTTCTGATCTTCCCTTTTAAACTATAGGTTGGTGATCCCACTATATCCTTGTTCCTACCCTAAATTCATCTCTAATTCTTTCAGTATTCTTTCATTTACTATTGCGTAATCAATTACAGTCCTCCCTCTTTCAACATTGCATGTGAATTTCCTGTTCTCCACGTTTCCGATTTAAAATTCTCCAACATCTCTTTTCTAATAATTCCAGTAACAGCTCTCTCTCTTTGTTGGACTCTTTATCTCCTGATTGTACATCTCTTCCCCTTGATACCCACTTTTCTTTAATTTCTGTTCTGTCACTAAAATTACCCATCCCCCAATATTAGTCCTTCATCCTCCATTTATAAGATTGATTATTTTACAAACCTTTCTCCTTGACTCCCCAGAATTGCTTCATATTTCCCCAGGATCTACTCCTATTTCTGTTTATTGTGTGATATGAGTAATTGTATTTCGTTTTATTTTCCCAAAATTACCAACCATATTTTCCATAATTTCACGGTTTTTCCGTAGACATTTTTCCTTACTTCCACAAAATTCCTTCGTCTTTCGTTTTCCTTTCCTTCCCATTCCTCTTGTCCCCCAAACCCCCGAAATTCCATATATCAATTCTCCCAAAATGTTCTGTGATGTGTCCTAAAGCTTCGTCAAAGTTCCTTACGTAACGTAAAACTTGCCCAAGTGTTACGGAATAACCGAAGAAACTCTTTATTCTCTAATTCCCCAAAGCCTCTTGCCTTATCTTGTATTCCCCTGATCTCTACAGGACATATAAGTAATAGGAATTCTTTAAAATATTTTCCAAAATGTTTTCTACGAAGCAAACACGTATAAATATACGTAATGTTTCAAACCCCACTTGTGGGTGTTGCCGCGTAACGAAACTGTACAATATGAGTAACGGGCAAATATCCACCATAGCAGCTATCAATTAGAAAAAGTTTCGAGGTGGCCCGTGGGCCGAGATCTAGATGGAACAGAGACAGACGACAGACAGACAGACAGACGACGGAAAATTGAGCATATAAGCGTTACCTCAACTTCGTTGTGTTACGTTAAAAAGGTTTTTTGCCTTAAGGCGAATACCTTTAGCTTGTTTTCTATGAATTGATCAATACTTCCGGAAAGGAAAGGAAAGGAAAGTAGTATTTATGTATACGTACACGGGAAAAAAATTGAAGCACCGTATAAATAAGAAATTTAGCATTCCGCAATAGGATGGAATTTCGTGAGATAGGAAAATACTAAAGAAAGACGAGGGAATTTTGTGAAAATAAGGGAAAATTAGTAAAGAATACCGACACGTTATGGTTGGTAATTTTAGGAAAATAAAAATTTCTAATGAAAGACAGTTACCAATTTTGCATAGGATTGAAGAAATGTGTCAAAAAAGAAGTGAACTTTGCGGAATGAAAGAATTGCCGGCAAACGTTAGGAAATCTTCACTAAAATAAAAGCAAATGTGAAATAATATACCATTCTTCAGACATAGCAATCATGGAGGAAAAATAATAATCAGTCAATAAATGATACGGTTATCTATTTCGATCAAAATTGGGGAATTTTATAGTAACTCTGAAGGAGATGGAAAGAGATTTGGAGGGAACAAGACGAAACTATTACATATAGAGATACATGACGACATGAGGAACCATTCTGAGGAAATGAAGAGTAAACCTAGAAAATAATAAGCAATGCTTAAGTTAATATTGTTATTTTATTTCATATAGGAATTGGGATAATTTAAGTTTTCGGACGTAAACTAGAAGTTGCTGTATATTTGTCAGTATGATGATGAGGAAGTAATATGCAGGTAGTTGAAATGAACTGTCCTTATCGAGGACAGAAAGGCTCTAGAATTAGCGATGCTAAAATAATAAAGTTTAGTGTAAGGCTAGAAGTAGATGAGCAGTCTTACGAAAATAAAACACCATTGCTGGGAAATAAGTACATTAGTGCTATTTATGATTGTCATTCTTGATGCTACTTTTTGCTACAGTATATCATTCATTTCTGTCAACTGACGACTTTATCTCGGATTTTATTACACACAAATATCAAAGTTCGGTTACAGTAGAAGTTTTCTGACTTACGTAGGAAATAGAATATAACTGAACGTTTGTAAATTATAAATGTATAACACGGATATAGCGGTTGCCATATTACACTCCTTCATCCACAGCTGAATAGTTCTAGGATTGATGGTGCTGAAATAACAAATAGGGGGGCACATAAGGCTGAAAGTTCACAAGAAAAACAATTTATAAAGGCTGTTACAGTTTCATTCAATGTACTGAACTTAAGCAATTATAGCACTTAAACTCAAAATATCTGTTTGAAAAACTATTCCTAGTTCCTGGTTCTCACTAAAATCGATCTTTTCAAAGCCTTGCATCTGGATTTGACAGTATTGACGCCATAGAATTAATTGAACTCGTGTCATGCAAATTGGACAATGTTAATTTAACATTCATAGTTATACGCTTACAGGGAGCGCGTGCAAACAAGACGTTTAGGGAATGCAATAAAACGCTTAATTCAAAATAGGTGGATTAATTTCTGTGCGGATGCCCGCATTTTGCACTGAAAAACCACTGCAAATTGCCTTAATTGAATAAATTTGAACGGGGACACAATATATCACTTCCAGCCGCATTAAGCCGCACAGTAAACTCTATTCTCGCAAAATGTCAGTATGGATTCAGAAAAGGGCATTAGTGTTGGCAGTTATGCGGGAGAAAATTTAAATAACTTACCTCTTGACAATTCCACATGGGAGTTTTACATATGGATATTATAGATAAGTTTTGAGGTCGATTCAACCATACAACGCAAATTTCCGTTAGGCTGATCCATGAAACTGCCGTAAAATAAAATTCGCTGCAACAGAAAAGGGGCAATTTATTTGAGAAGCTTTCTAGAGAATTAATATCGAGATTTTGAGTAATTTATTTGTTTAGATTTAACGTCGGACGTTTCTCAATTATAAATGTCTCTTTTTTCCCTATATTTTAATTAATTTCACCAGGAGATTATTCGGTTACAATAGAGACTTACGTGTTTGCGAGAGCAGCAGGGGGCTTTACTTGTCTCGTCCGGATGTTTGAAGGATCTGCGAGATCAGCTACTGTAAGTGTAACTTGCGGATTTCTGGTTCCAGGCTTTGGGTAACGCAAAGAGCGAATATCGGGATACAGTCTGCCTTCCGTAAGCGATCCATACCATGGAAATTTTAATTCTTCTACTAAACTATCATTAAACGAAGCGTAAACGATCATGTGGCCATCGTTTGAGATCCAAATTGCGTTGTTGGTGCCTAGTATTTCCTCTGAAAATTTGCTAGTGTAAAAGTAAACCTGAATTTGAGTTAACATATTCATTCACCTTCATACAGCCAATCGGGCACACCGTGGCTTACAACACCTGGGACTGCTGTATTAGTTAGCCGATACGCCGCGTGCGATGTGGGGGACATTCTGTAGTAAATGTCGTAATTATGCACCATGACCAACCCTTGTCCGCGTGGTGACCATTCGGCAAAGAGAAGGTATGGGTGCTCGTCGATATCTGGTGTTGGCCGGATTGCGAATTCGTTTCTGTTGCAAAGAGAGAACATATCACGTTACGGCGGAAATTTTTGCAGTTTTTGGTATTTGCTTTCGCAATGATTCACTAAAAAGGACCAAGATACATTTTCGGATTTAGTCAATCCTATTTACTTATCTCTGGTGCTTAAGAACTACCTATACAGTTTGTGATTGTTAAGAACATTTCACAGTTTTTGTCTTCGGGGATTTTCTTGTTTCCATTTTCTTAATGTGTTGATGTTTGTGACCCGTGTAGGGCCGGGAAAGAATAACCCTACCGCAGATGGCACTGCGTGTCGTAAGAGGCGACTACACAACTGCATGTCGGTCACCACCGCTGGATGATCGATAGAGGAATGACCAGGGAATTTGTTCTTGGCGAAATATAGGCAAAAATTTAAGAGTTTCTTGTTTATTTGTAAGCGTCAGGACACTTTTCCGTTTCACTACTGACGTTTCTTGTTAAGGTATTATTGGAAGTGGGGGTGTAATCGTTTCAACGGTATACGTAAAATAATTGTTCTGATACCAAACATTTTCCGTTGAGTTCAACTTATATTTCCAATTTGGCATTACATTGATTATTGAAATAGGCGCCTGAAGTTTGATACCTAACACATCAAGATGAAATTGAGCTCAGTTTGAAACATGAACTGAAAGATTTGATTCTGAAATTGTTGATGATTGAGTAGTTTCTGTGAAGAGATTAGTTGAAATGTGAACTAAACGACTGGTATTTGATTAACTGATTATCTATGGATTTAACGTCTTGTTTCATAATGTTGTATGTACAGGAATCGTGCATTTCCCTTTAAAAAAATGAGAAATGAGAATTTGACCCACTTGCGCATGCGCGATTCTCCGCAAAAGCTTTTCAGCTTATGTATAAGAATATGTGTACCAAATTTGATTTAAATCGGTTCAGCGGTTTTATCCCGATTATCTTGAGCTGTACATTTGAAATTGTAGCTAATAGGTACCCTATATGTATTTGTGTGTGTATCTTCGAGTGACTCTGATGGTTCAATGTGAAAGTTCATGTCAAATAGGTTTCCATCATGACATTTTCATCTTAATATCGCGTTTTGAAATTTGATGATTTGAGTTTCCCGTCTGAAGATCAAGTGAAACTGAAATGTGGGCTCTAGAGGGTAGTGTTTATCATTTGACGTTTAAAATGAAAGGTATGATTTTGTTAGAAGTTTGAAGCAGTTTGAAGTTAGGCACTTCAACTTAGAAGCTTATGTTTTGAGCCTTGCAGATTCAAAAAATATTTAACTTGCGTATTTTGAAATGTCAATATGATTTACAAACGTTAGTTATAAGTGTTTTAACTAACGAGAGATTGGCGGATCATCGAGAGACTTTATGTATAAGAAGTCACCCTTCCATCAAGTGCCAACGGTCTCTCGAAGAAGGGGGATGAACGCATGCTGGATAGGGCACGGAAGTAATAAGAGTCAAACATATCTGTGATCACAGGAATAGAGGATACAGAGGAAAGATCAAAGAACTTGAAAACTAGTATGATACAGCGCAGAAGCAGAAATAGTTTGGCAGAAACAACATACTAGAAGAGAGTGGATAACAGAGGAAATTATTGAGAAAATTGAGAAGAAACGGAAGTTGGAAGTTCATTGATTAATTGAATTTAAACAATAGTTTACATGTATCTTTTATGATTCACAAAATTAATTAATCTTTGTTTGTATATATACCATAAGTCGGTTTTGAGACGTCAGTAAATACAATAGGCAAAATAAAGGCAGAACATAACTAAAAAAGAATAAATTAAACAAATATAGCAAACGAGTTCCTGGGTATGGGTTGGCTTGGCATTACGTATTATATGGCTAAAGCTATGCTCATTCTGAATTTCATGCAATTCGGTTCATAACTAAGGGAGATGTCAAAAGCGCTTTCCTTATTTTTTGCCCTACACTGCAAAATTTCATCGTAATCGGTCCATTCGTTTTTGAGATATCGTGCTAACGGACGGACGGATGGACAGACGGACAGACAGACGGACACACACCGCAAAATTATAAACTCGCTAGAAGCTCGTTAATAATACACAATTACGAACAGTTTAAAATTTTAATCAAAAATAAGACAAAACATGTAGTTAAAATATAAACAAGTGAAGGAGAGTACATTTCAGCTTAAAAACTGCACCATAAAGATGAGACTTTATATACCTTCGACTAATAAACGAAAAGGGAATCAATATGAGCAAAATTAAAAGGTTTCGTAATACACTTTGTCCAAGCAAGTAGCAATTGTTATGTCACAGGTTCTTCGTTGTAAGCGGTTTCCGATCTTCTGGTAACCAAGCTAAGCTCTGCTTCCTCGTCTGCTTCTTACGCTTTTTCACTAATTTCATCTTTTGATGATAAAGCTTCCATATGTTTTAGTTTTTCAGGAAAAAGTTTGTTTGGAAAAAACGTCAAAACAACTACCATACTTTGCCATTTTGTGTTTTTCGTAGTTTTGTTAAGATAAAAGTAAAATTTAACTGGTGTTCCATTGCGTATTGCGTCTACTCGACTACAAATTGGCGTAAAACACTTGTTTATAATGTGCGATTATGATAGTCGTTTTTGTTATAAATAATCGCTTACCTTACAAACCAAGTTATAAATTAATGTTTTAATAGAAGTACTATTTTCATATAGCAGCATTGCTCTACATATGGTTTATTTTACCCCTTCATTCTTTTATCTGGCTCTAGCAGTAACTCAAACTTGTATAATACCATTGAATGATAATACTCATTGCAGGCAACAGGTGGCATTTATGCAAATAGTACATCTAACACGTTATTCATTACTCTAGTTTACATTGAGGTACGAAAGGGGTAATTCCAAAACAATATAAGAAGTGAGAATTGATTTACTTTTTACGTACCCAGTATCCACGTCGTATACGATGTATTGGGCCAGATAGGAATGTCGAAACAACTTCTGTACATTTTGTGCGAGCAGTAAATATTTGTGGTCGGGTGAAAGTTGAAAACGTGCCGGATTTAATCGTGTCTGAAAATTCAAATTTGTTTATTAGCTCGGCAAATTCACATTAAATCATTCGCTTAAATAGTCAGGTATTAATACTATAAATAAACGTGGATTAAGCATACGGCAATAAACCTTCGCGTGTGCTTTGGATTGGTAATAATTCGACCGTATTTTTCCACATAAAAGTCAATAAGTTACCTATTTGCAAATGGGAGTTTGTTGCCGTATGTAAATTGCGTCTCGTATTACGTCAAAATGTTTTACACAAACAAGCGGTTAACGGAATAAGCATTAGGGTTGTTTTTTTCGAAATCAACCTAATTGAATTCTCACAGGTTAATTACTCGGACCCTTTAGGGATGTGTGGTTTATTATATCGCCTGAACAAGGATGAAAGAGCCCTGAAGAGTCTAGACGAGCTTTGGAGCAAATATGCCACGTTTATGGAGCAGACCACAGGAGCTGCGGCCTGCGCTAAGGGAGTTGAATTAAAAGCACTTTAATTTTTCCCTGATTTTCAAGTACTAACTCTCCTCGTGATTCATATTGAACTAAAAGAATTGGTAGAATCGAAAATTTTATGGTCATGACGATGAAGAAAATAATTTGTTTAAAAGAGAGAGTTAGAGTTGGGGTTTAAAGGTTTATCTGAAGTTCATATGACGAATTCAACAAAAGTCGACAAAACTTTTGTGTACGTAATTCACAACCATGCAACATAAAGAGAAGTGCAGTATTTTTTTGAAATGACAAAACTATCACTTGGTCCTTATTTTAATCCAGTTTCACAAAATATATAGCGATGCTTGCATTTCAGTTTTTTCAACTGTATGCCTTTAACAATTGCCCTATACCTACTATTTCGTACTAGTTTTATTCCAATTTGAGTGGCAGCACTGATTAATCTTGCTCTGCGGTTGAGAATTTCCCGTTTAGATAAAAAGCAGCAATATTTTTCAGTTCTCTATTATAATCATAAAAAGTAACTAGAAAAAGGTAAATTTCCACAGATTGCGATTTGCAGATTTATATATTCCGCTTTCAAAGGAAGGGGAACTACTTCATACATTTTATAAGTTCTCAAATTGCTTAATTAGGTTTCGGAAAGCTTTTACAGTTTCGTATTCGTGTATCCAAGACCTTCCGGCTATTTACTTTTGCCGGATTTACGAAATTCTCTCTAAAATATAACTTTGCCTGCTTTTATTACTCAAATACTTTGTAGTTTTCTGTGTGTAGTGTTATATCATTTGGGAATTAACTTTCTACAAAAATACACCAAGTACGATTACACTCCCTCCGAATTGCTATTGTATATAATATATTACAATTGTATTACATACCACAAAATACTTCACATACATGTAACAAAATGTACCTATACTCTTGATGCTTTTTTGATTAAGTGTTCACCCTCACAAATTGTAATGTGGTTGAAACTACGCGGTTCTGTGGATTGTATTGGGGGTTGTTAAATTCGAATCAGACATTTCAGTATTTATCGATTTCTAACTTGTGCCCTTTTCCATTCGCTAATTAAATTCCATGCTCCAGTAACATCAATGTAAAATAATGAGTTATACTTACATAAGTTTGATTTGACATCAACGTTTTAATTGTAAGATTGGAAGCACACATCAAGCTTATACCGCCCCACTGGTCCTTAAAAAGTAGTTGTTGCCCTGAAACAATAAAATGGTCAATTTAATATAAGATGTTCGTTAAGAATAATTTTGTTAGAAATTGAAAAACGTGCCTTGTCAATGAAATAAATCTTTAATCGGAATATTTTCAGAACGGTTGCATTTCATGAGATTGTTCCTAGGCGCTTTGCGAGTTCAATCTCTAATTTCGCATTACATAACGGAAAAACGTCGGAGAAGCCTCGATATCACCAGCGAAAATAGATCGGAAAATTTGTTTTCAAGATGGAAACACACACGAAAGTGATTGGATTAACCTCTTCCAATATAACCTTATCGTATAACGCTGAAGGGCTAATAGAGCAAAATAAACACTTTTTCGATTTTAAACTCCTTTTGTGCTCTTTGCTTCTCCAACTTCCGCATGTATCGCTTTATTGAAAACATTGTTTGCATTTTTGCTCTAGTGAACCTAATACGACACGAAATTGATCTTTACTGGTGATAACAAATTTTTTTCCATGCAACCTGTTTGATTAAAGGTAATCTAATGATCAATACAAAGTGCACTGACTTACGTGTTCGCTTTAATATCTGTTATTTGCCACGCGATGGCGATCATTAAATATGAATAATCTGCACCGTTGGTAATGCCATTGTGTATTTTCAATGGTAATGCCTTTGTCGAAGAATCGTGACACTTTTAAAAAAAAGTGTAATATCCGACCTGGCCTTACATTGTTACAAATTTTAAGCAATTTCCTTGAAAATGTAGTTAATGAGATTTCTGGCAAATACTGAAAAAGTTGGAACACTAGTTTGTTATTATTACGCAATTTCCACAGGTCCTTGAAACATTGAAACTTGGAATAGTACTACCCGCTCTAACCTTATATGAAATATTCAGAAAGAATTCAGCTTCGTTTTGTACACTTGTTTAGGCAATGTGGTGGTCGTAATTATTAAGGTCGCTTGGGTTTGCCATTGTATGCGTGAATTACAGGGAGTATTGTGACTGATTCGGCGCTAATGAGAAGGGTTTAAGACAACTGCCAACCTCTTGGATGTGCACTATTAACTATATCTATGTTTCTTTATAAACTAGTTGGTATAATGAGAAAAATAAGTTTCATTGTTACCTAGTGCTCATAAATGTTCAATATTTTTATATAGTAACTGTTTTATATTTCCCCAAGCGGAATACAGTATTTATACAATATTTTCCCACGAAAATTCGGTGTGAGTATTATAATCCCTGTACCTAAACTGAAAAGCAAGGACCACAATCGTTCCTGGAGGTATTCCAAAATTTTTTTTCCAAAGCTCAAGCTTCCCCCCTTTGTGTAGGTAACTTTTAATCAAACTAGTATGTGGTATTTCACATATACACTAATATCTCCACTCTAGGCAAATATCGAGTGATCTACTGTCGCATATTTAATATGTGTGTCGTATCGATTTTCTGATACATTTAAGCTGTTACACTGTTTGTTCTCATTAATATTTTATTAAGGCTGTGTGGGAATGATTTATCAGTTATTACCCTAGCTTTTATTTGATTCCTACGAATTAAAGATCTGCTTTAACAATTGACCATATTGTGGGTAGTCACTAATAAGAAAGAACAGGAGGGACTAGTATGGGAAGTTTTTGAGACCATTATTTCGGTTCGGTTCGTTTTAGGCTAAACCCAAGTTAAGTTGTCGCAGGAAATTTAGTTACGATTTTACCATATCGGAAGTTCATATTTTTTTCGGGTATTATCGTTCGGAAACGTACAAATTCATAGTGTAAGAAAACAGAACTAATATTCGGGAAATATATCACCTTTGTACGGTGTTGGTAATGGGGATCCTACGTAGTAGTCAGATAACTCTCTAAACACAAACATGTTGGATTGCCTTTCAAATCTCCTGAGTAAAGTGCATAACCCCTGGCTTCCACTTTCAGTGCAACGAGATGGACGCTTTTCTTAAACTAGACGCCATTTTGTAAAGGAACGGCGGCTTCACTTGGTACGTGCGCTTTCCACGCCAACAAACTTGTCTTGCCTTGCGTGGTGGCGCTTCTGAATCGTACCGTGTGGTGGGGTCCCGCTATCATTATTATTGACGGAATGCCCGAAAAACGTTACTTCGAGTTGCCCACATAAACATTTTCTTGTGTTGATTACGAGGCCGTATTGTTAGAGACTCTGGAAAACCTTTTCGACGTACTTCACATGTTCAGCTTCGTTTGGGCCGCATCTCGCAAACCGAATGTCATGCGAGTAAATTCAAACAGTCCGAATGGGGTTGATATGGCTGTTTTCGGATGCTTGGTTCGACCGGTATTTGATGATACGCTCTCGCCAAATCCGGTGTGGAGATTTTGCGTCCATTGAGATTGTGAGTAAAATCGTTCAGGAGTCGTATGAGGACCGTTACTGTGTTTAGCTTTAGACCACGATAATCTCTACAGAGCCGCCACTGGCCGTTAAATTTTTTAACTATCTGGATTGGACTGGCCCATTCGCTGTCGGTGAGTTCCTTGGGCGATCATGAACCCGAATTGGTCCTTAGCAACTTTCAGCTTACCTGGAGGAAGCCTTCTTGTTTTACGGATAAATCAGCTCTGGGGTCGATTAAATAATGGTTGTTCGTCGAATAATCGGTGAGTGAGGGGGTGCCGTATATCGCTATTTGAGACGGGTCCATTAGTTTTCTGCCGTTTTTTTTCAAACGTACATGGTTTTGTGCACTTTCTTTGTCCGTTCTGCAATACGTCGGTGGTAATAACGTAATTCCTCCGATCACATTTGAACTCGTCCAATTTTTTATCTAAATCGATTTCCTGAATATGATCATGATCGTTTCACTTCCGGGTTTACCGTATGTCGATATTTTAAATATTTTAAATAGAACACCCTGTATTTTATTGCATTTTCTAAATCTACATAAAAATCTACGTCGTTTGATACCAATTTACATAACCGGTATCAAAGATTTTCAAGTTACTCAAGGTTTTTCAAAACATTGACTTTTGACTGCTGTTCTTTTGAGCCCTCTCCATGACTCCGTTGACTTGGATTTTAAAAAAGGTTTTCAAAATCAACAATGCTGGACTTGACGCTACATGAAAATGTTTTAAATTTGGATCGCCCTTGTACAGGGTGTTTCAAAATTAATGGTCAGTTGTACTTCAACCTTAAAAAGTTGTTTTTTTCAAATGAAACATGCTGTACTTTTTTACACTTCCAAATTTCTCGCTAAGTTCCGCGGGGGAAGCCCTAGAGTTACCCAGGTGCGCCACGTATAAAAATTTCGCTAACTTCGTAACTATTTTATAAATGCTGCCGTTTGATAATCGCAAAATATACAAATAATTAAATTTAAAAATAACAATGGTAGACGATTATCGCGGTTCCAAGATCATGGCAGGCGCATTTCAGTCGACAAAAATTATGAAATTTCAAAAGTATTTTATTCGACCCCCAAAACTTTTGTGTTTTTTCCATACCCACAAATACCCGCTGCCTTTTTTTATTTTAATATTCATTTTCGTAGTTGAACTCCTGGTTAGATCCAATCGCTAGTGTAGTAAAAATGAAAAATGCATTTTATAAACAAGCTAAGATAAATTTGAGGACCTTAATCGCGGCTTGTGAGGACATTGTGAGAAATTCTAGAGAAGAGAACTAGAGGTCAGATATCAGGCAAAGCTTGAGGAAAACATGAAGGAAATATTAGATCAACTTGAAGGGAACGTAAAAGTACAGGATAAAGGTTTGAGGATAACTTCAAAGAATTTAAGAGAAGCATGGGAGGAAATTAGGAGAAACTGAGAGAAGATTAGAAATAGGCATGAGTGCATGACGGCTCTTATTTTTGGGTGTTTCTCAGTTAAGTCTTGGTATAATATCTTAATGAATGATGTTCTGAACTTTGCTTCTTTGCTCCACAGATACATTAGACTAGATTAAAACGCTTTATATCTTACGACTTAAAGCATACGCCAGTACGAATTTAATTAATGTTTGGAAATTGTGTTTATGCACATTAATCTTAAATATACATTGAGCCATCGTACTTTATAACTAATTTGAAAGTTAAGTCTGATTACGTTTCAAACGTGCTTTGTTCGGTATCTTCTCAATACAGGGCGCTCGAAACACAAAAGGATCGTAAACTAACTCCCCTATAAACGTCCTAGATTATAGTTGTAAATTTGATATATTTCTCGGGGAGTTTCCACAATTAAGTGTCTCGCGTCGACTGAAACCTCTCGAGGTTTTGATTAGATGTTTCCTTTTCTCCACCTTATTACAGACTGCAATGCAAGGTAACGCATCCCTACAACAAAAGTAATCAGAAGCGGGAAGTTTCCCCAACAGGACTCGCCTGGCGCAATATTAAATCGATATACTGTTTAGAACAAGCATTGCTGCAGTGCCGCAGTAATAGGAGATAAAATGCGCGCGTTAATTATAAGTTTGCTAGAATCCGCATTTACGGTTAATCGGACATTTTAGAATATTGCACCGAGGAAATTGTCGAGTTTCTTTGGTGCGATTAGCCCAGGGCTGTAACTTTTGATCTAGTAGCCCGATCTTGGAGCTGTTTGAAATTATGGATTCTACAGGCCACATTCTATAAGAAAATATTTTTTTTCCGGTCGATCTTAGACAATTTTTTGTTCGAGCCAAAAAAAAGGCAGTGTATAACCTTCCTTTTTTACCAAAAATCGACTGCACCAAAATTTCTCGGGAAAAAACTTTTTCTTATTAATTTTGGTGCGTAGAATCCAAAACGATTCGTACTTTTTCGATTAGACGTATCAATCAAAAGTTATGGGCAAAAAACCAATTT